TAATGCCTCTGTCTTTCCTGGTTTGGATCAAAGTCCACCAGTTCTACCTGATCCATTTCATCAGTCTCTTCTACTTCCTTCCTTTCAGGAAGGAGTTTTTCCAACAAAGAGAGTTTATTAGGAGAGAGAAAGCCATTTTCAGGGAAGTTCACCTTAAACTCAATGATCAGACGTCCTTTTTCATATGGCTGACAGTATACTGGCATACCTTTGTTTAGCACACATTTTATATCTCCATGCTTGACAATCTGACCTGGGTGAGAGGTGATGACTATGGTTCGGTTGTCAAGAGTGGATATTGGCTTTTGGAAGCCGCACAATGCTTCAACCAGCTGTATGTCCATACACATGAAAAGGTCTTCTCGTTGTGTAAAAACAGCATGGTCCTTCTGGTCTAACACAATGATAATATCCCCTGGCTTTGGTCCTGGTTCTTGGTCTCCTTCACCATGGAATGTTATCTTCTGACCATCTTTCATACCTTTATCAATATGAACTTCTAAAATCTTCTTCTCTTGCACTATCTTTCTTCCATTGCAGCTTTTACACCTGTCTTTAGGACTGATGCGTTCTCCATGACCCTGGCACTCCATGCACACCGACTGCATCTGCTGAACCATTCCTGGTTCGATCTGATGAATCCTTATTTGCATACCAGTCCCCCGTCAGTTGGGACAGCACTCTACTGCTCCTTTCTTACCACCTCGGCCTTCACATTTGTCACAAATCACATTCTTCTGAAGAGCCAGTTTTCTTGTTGCAACATTATAGAAGTCCTCTAAGGTCACTGAGAGCTGATGTGCAACGTTTTTACCTCTTTCTCTTTGCATCCTTCCTCCTCTCCCAAAGAACATATCAAAGATATCCATGGGCGAGCCAAAACCACCACCTGCTCCGCCCTCTTTAATAGCCTGTTCGCCTCCTTTATCATATAATTCCCTTCATAAGCTTAAGAAATCTGTTTAAACTTTTTGCCTTCATTTGGATTCTTATCAGGGTGGTACTTCAAGGCCAATTTTCTGTATGCCTTTTCAATTCTTCCTGGGTGGCATTGGGTTTGACCCCCAAAACATCATAGTAAGTGGTTTCTTTCACCGTTTTTCACAGCCGGTGAGCAGGCCGGCACCGGAGAGCGGAAAGAGGAGCGTAGCACAGCGCGCAGCTCGGGCAGACGCTGCCTCTCCACCTCCTGCCGAGCGTTCTGGAAAGTTCCCACAATTATGTCTTTTATGGGACAGTTAGGCTGCACCTCTCAATAGTGTGATTGCATACACAAGACAAACACGACAACAGCAGTACATATGCAAATGGGGACAGGGACAGTTCCACATGAACACCACTAGAAGAAGAGTTAGAGTTGTCAGTATCCACTGAGAGAGGGAGAATCAGCCTCCTCCAGGAGCAAGCTCCCATATAGGATGCCCAGTCCCCAGTGGTTCCCAGTAGACTCAGGGACAAATGAGTAAAGCTAAATGTACTCAGGTTAGAAATACATGTGTGTAGGTATATGCACAAACCACATATACATATATATATATATATATATATGCATTAACTCATAAAGAGATCATAATTTTCGGAGGGG